CCATGGGCAGCTCATCTTTTAAATACGTTAGTTTCTCGATGAGAGTGATCATTTCCCCGGAACAAGGTCAATTTTACTGCTTAACAGTTCACAACCTTCCATTGTTAGACAAGATATATACAATTTCAGAACAAATTAGGAAAATATAGTTGAAAAGGTTTAGAGATTTACGAGGAGAAGAATCAACAGCAATAGCATGTGAAATGATAGTTTAAGAAACAACCGAAATAATGCCTATTGGTCTTGCCGCCTAACACTGTAGTACCTAGTGCACCGATTTAGGATCTTGTCAGTGTATTAAAAGCTTCAACTAACTTTTCTACGTCAACTAGTCTTTTTGTGGTCTACTACGTCTCTTTGATGGATTCATTCACTACAAAGATGACGAGCATAATAAGGATCTCCTAGCAGTTAATTGACAATTTTATTTACCTCGGCCGAAGCCTGTACTCCTAATTTTGTACCTTCAGAGTTTTCATTTGGATCCTTTTCTATTTGATTGTGGTTGAAAATATTAAAGTTTAATTGAATTCACTTCTCAAAAGTCAAGGAAAAAATTCCTTTAATCTATCGAACTCACGTTATTAACGACAAATACTAAGCATATTTAAATCAGATGTGTCATAGAATATGAATTTTTTGCTATTGGCTCATCGAAGGCTTTTATTATTGTGCAAGTCAACAATAAATGTTTCAAATATAAATGGACACGATATTATTAAATAGGATAATTGCAGATTGAGCAAGAAAAAAGAAAAATATTTTTTTAATTTTATTTTTAAAAATTTTTATTACTTCAGTAAAGTAAGAAGGAAAAGATAATGAAGGTATAGATTAGAAGAATGAAGGAAAAGAAATATTTTATATTAAATTCAATATTAATAAATAAGCGCAAGGTCTTTCGAATTGTATATTTTTCAAGCGAAATTGCCAGTTATTGTTTAAGATAGGTCGCTCATTGCTAATAACGTGAAAGACAAGTAGATGTTTAGTTATGCAGGTGAACAGGTATATGATCATATAAGCTGATAGATATGTACATCGACATTTCATTGTAATTTATGTTAATGTTCATATTCATGTTCATGGTTTAGTGTAGGTAGAGTGACTGATTCATGAATATAAATTCAGAGTTTTTTTGGACAATGAAATATGGAAAAAGAATTTTTTGAAAAAATGATGAGGAATTTGATTATGATAAAATGAAATTTAAGAATGGAAAAAAATAAAATGTGAAAATATTGAGAATGGGAAAGAGAAGTTTTTTGATTATGCGAAAAATATGGTCATGAAAAATTAAATTCATTTAATAGAAGATGAAAAAATACTTGAGGGTGTGGGTTTTGCTCTTTCCCTCAGTCTTATCTACATCCATACTCACTATACGCATTTTTAAGTTCGGCTCGTGATAAAAATTAGGAATTTTCTTCATCACGCCATGGAAAATTTTCAATCATGTTTTTATTACATGAATTACGTATATCAACAAGAGATACATTTATATATAAGTGTAATACATGTCGACAACAATGTGATATACTTTATCATTGTAGACTATGTAAACATTTTGGTTTGTGTGAAAAATCGTTTAATCGTGAACCAAAGCATGAACATAAAATGGAACGTTCAATATCATCAATAGTTGATGATAGCCGATATCAAAAATAAAATCTATGAAATGATAATGATAAATCTATAAAAAATATACTGTATACAGTTACAGCGCTGAAAATCGACGCAACGTTGATTTGAAAGATTATTACATGCTCTTAAGTGCCATTTTAAATCTGAAAATACTAAAATAATGAGCAACTTATTTACAAGCAAACCGACATCGTTGTATTATACGTATTAGAATTCTATTTCTGAATAAAATCAAATTCTAGGTCTATATTCGAGTCGGGTCATTTTTCTAATAAAAATAAAATAATTATGTGTTAGAATTAGAGTCCTGCAGGTCAACCTTGTCCTACCCTACCCTACCCTGCCCTGCAGGGCAGGGTAGGGCTAGGGTACAAAACTCGTAGGGCAGGGCAGGGTAAGGTTACAAAAACAAAATATTTAGGGTATAAGTAGGGTGTAGCTCATACAAATAAAATTTTTCTAGAGTAGAACTTAATATATATTTTTGACATCTTTTTGATCAAAAACAGTGTAAAGAGTGATATCATAATCTAAATCGAATGGATAGAATAAAAACGAACGGAAAACAATGGCCTATTGTTTAGTACTATTTTATACATGAGCTGACGAGTTCAGTCACTTTTGATTATTTGTCGAGTAAATGTGCATGTAAATGTAATAAAAAATGTGTTCGAAATCATCTCGACATGAACGTATTTTTAGTACAAACGGGCGAGTTTTGGAAGAGAGAAGGCAAAATTTAAGTGGTGATGTTGTGAATGATATTTTATTTTTAAGCAACTTTCGAAAAATTTATTAATTTTGTATTTGATTCTCGTTGAAAATCAATAAATTATATTGAAACAAAGTGAAGAAAAACTTCATGCTGACTTTTACTTGGACCTGAAACTCAAATGATATGATAGGGTGTAAAATGAAAAATCTCTGTGATAGGGTAGGGTAAGGGTACAGAGCCCGTAGGGCAGGGTAGGGCAAGGTTACGAAGCTATAGGGCAGGGTAGGGCTAGGGTAAGAACGTCGTAGGGCAGGGTAGGACAAGGGTACGAAGTTTTACTATAGGGCAGGGTTAGGGTACAAAAAAGTCTTAACCTGCAGGACTCTAGTTAGAATAACGAACGAGTATATCGATAGGGGTTTCTTTCCTAGACATTCACAAGTAAGATCTTGATGGTTTTGGGGTGAGTGGATAGACATGCACAGAAAAGAAACAACCGATTGTATTTGGACGTGGATATGTGTTTGTTTATGGTTTGAGTTCACATCCATCCTGTATGCCCTTTTCGATAATATCAAAATAAGGTAAAATCAATAATAAACACTAAGTGGTTAATCACAAATATGAATCAACATTGAAAATATCACAGTTTTAATTTTTGATCGCTTCACCCAGATACAGTAAAATATTTTGAATGAATTCATGTTTTATTTCTTAATTTTCATCCTCACTCTAAGCATATTGTTTTCATTCAAAAGATAAAAGAGCTACTATTTTACGTCTTGTTATTTTCAAAACATTTCCCTGATCTCAATGCACACAACAAGAAAAGAGCTAGCAATTCACACTTAAAGACTCCCTCTAGAGTAGGATAATTTATACTTATTTATGCGCAATCTTGTGAAACTTGAATGTGCATGTGTGATATGATACTTTTTGCAATGACATCGCTTAACAATAACAGAAAAAAAAACAGTTCTGTGAAGGCTGCTGACTGCAATTTATCTTTAAACATGATACCTTTCTATTATTTTCTTGCTTTAAAGAAAAAAACACATTAGTCACCAAAGATGCACTCAACAAATAATAAGGTTATTCATTTCATAGCAATATTAGACTTTGCTTCTCTGACGTTTGTACACCTAGCAAAAAAAATATTTATCGTCAAACTTTCCCACGCGTATTTTGATCCAGCATATAAAAACAGATTCTTTTTTAAATTTATAGACAAACACAACATGCTCGTATTACTATTCATTCTATTGATAGCGGCAGATATTGGTTTTGCTCTTGAATGTCGAACTGACTGTCGTGCTGGCCCGTATGATTTCGGTCGAACGTTTAATATTCCCGATGGAGCGTGTCCGCAACGAAGATCAGGAGATGCTTGTTCGATTGATATTGAATTAGATTATCACAGTGCTTCATATAATGTAAAATTTAGCACTCTTATGCTATCGAGAGATAGTGTTTATATAGGAGCTGGACCCTACCTAAGTTATAGCATTGGTTATCAATGCTCAAAAAGTATTGATTGTGTTATCTCATATGCAAGGAACAGAGTCACTGAAATGATTCATCGCAACTATAGTGCACGAATCATATATGATGAAATTGCTCCAATTATCAAGAATCCTTTACGAAACGGTTCAATCCAATGTTATAATATGAGAAAGGAAGCTATCGTATGTGCATCTGATAGTACATGCCATCTAGATTATGATCAACGAGAAAATAAATTCAGGTCACGTGGTTGCAATCTGGGTCGTGAACCTAGTGTTTTTGCTTATGATGGTGGCTCGTATTTATCAATTAAAATCGGATGTAATCGCGATTTATGCAATAACGAGGAAACATTTTCACAAATAAAAAATGTCTTAAGCACTTATGGCTTAACAGATGGTAATGGACGACGAATTGCCAAGGGAAATAAACAAATGGTTTCTTTACTATTAATGTCATTCACTTTGATTTTTTTTATTTTTTATTTTTTCTAAAATTCAGAAAAAATCTTTTTCTTTAAAATAAAATGATATTTTTTTATATGAATTTTATTGTTCTACTAGAGTGAACAACGAACAGAGCACATTTTAGTGAGAGACAAAATGAAATGATATTTCAGTCAGGCAACGAAGCAAAGTGTGAACAGCTGGCTTCGTACTATTAAAATTATTTGAATTAAATTGCGTCCTGTTGAATTAATTTAAAGTCGAATCGATCGGTAGAAACTCTTCACTGATCTAAACGTAGAAGGGTGCGGGAGAACCAATAGGTTAAATACAATACTTGAGTGATGAGAAGTCAATACCCTTTATGAATCAATGAACAAGTTACTTCTTCTGAGAAGCAAGTTTTTAAAACATTTCAACAAAGAGAGAGCGTGAAGTATATATATTATGATCAAAAGTAATAAAGAAGCACGAAAACACAGTTCCTATGATTTTCCTCTAATGACGATCAGTTCTCGATATCTTAATAATCATAAAAAGGTTTGGTAGCACTAAAGATATCACAAACCAATAGATTTGAATTACAAACATTATTTGTGAGCACCAATGAGGCGGTAGTCACATTAAGACTGTCCATTGGTAAAAATATTCCAAGAAATTATTTGATACCCAGATACCACACCATTTATTCTTTTGCATTTCAGCGCTATTAAGAATAAACTGTCCTAGGATGGGTGTGGGTCAGTGTTCCAACGAGACTTGTAATCAGACTCATGCCTACACCCAACTATACATCGTCTGAATTTTATTGGTTACTGAAAAAGACACTTATCACAAGTATATTGTACCGCTTGAAAATAAACCAGCAGTTATGATGCATACTTAGTATCAGCGAGAAATAAAGAGGAAAGATAAAAGTAGTATAACAAGTGAGTGATTCTTGTGAAATGTGTCGATTTTCACTAGACCGCATCGTTTGCAATGCGTTTTCGTTGCCTTGCTTTTCTTCACTCTTGGATTTTTATTTTTCATGTTCTCAAATTTCCAGTTATGTCCTAGATATACATTTTAAGCTGTTTTAATCTCTTGTCGTAGGTTTGTTATTAATCATGCGTTCCATTAAGATGAGATGCATATAGTAGGAGTAAAGTATTTCTGACAAAGCGCATCATACGACTGATAATAAACGAGAAAAAAAATCATAATGATAAAAAAAATGCAACTCATAGAAAATCTTGTAGATACACTTATTACTATTTAAATCCACGAAGCATAATACTTGCCATCGTTCATAAATAAACCATTGTCAATAAAAAATAAGCAAAATTGGGGTAACTATGCGAATACTTGATTGTAAGACAGCTTGAAAAGCTGACCATTTTCCTAGAAGAAGTTTCACATTCTGTATCATTTTTAAATCGACTAGAGTTGCTGGATGATAAACTTATAGCACCAGTGTTATTTGTCCAGTTAAATTTATATCTTCGAAGATCTGAGAAATTAATTTTATCTCATCTGTTAAACAAGAAGAAATCCAGCAACATTTCGTTGGCGTTCCTCTCAAGTTGAACTTTAGAAAATTTATTGAAATTATTAAAATAGATCATCAACCAAATACCTGCAAGAACTATCAAATACGAGTGCTGTATAACAAAAGTACCAATTCATTCATACCCCGAAGTTATTTTTTCGAAAAAATTTCTTAAAAACTACCAGCGACTTTGTCATAAATATATTAGACACATATTGATAAATTCATAAAATGAATCAAAAATTATCTTATTGAAAATAAAATTAACCATTGTACACATTCTTTTTGTATCCTTGACAATGAAAATCCAATTGATCTCAATCATCCATGGTAATCTTTTATCATAATAGATGCTGCTATAGTTCATTTCTGACATGATATTCTTAATGCGTTTTCTTTTACATCAATTTAATTAGGTCTTTAATTTCATTTTTATACACAATTCAATACATTATTATAAAAAATTTGTTTATCTCTGTCATCTTTTTTCCGAGATTAATCATATTTTCAATATCCAATAATCTTTATTTGGGTTGTGTGTGTGTGTGTGTGGGTGATGAGGAGATTCACACACTCACACACCTTCATAGATGGCACCATCGAATGAGGAAAAAATGTTCTTCTCTCTCAATACTATGTAAAATTTGTGATCGCAATCAAAAATATCAATCACGCAGTACACTACTAATTGCGAAGGTCTGTAATGCTGCAGTTACCTGGTTGCTATGATCTGTAATGGGTAGGTCTTGTGTTTTTCGTATATTCTGTAATAGCAAAAGAAGAAGAAATAATAGCCTAATTTTTCTAGCTCCTAATTAGCACAATTTAAACGTATTGACGTCTGTAATGCGGAGAAGGAGCCGCAAAAATCTCCCTTTTAAACTTACACTCAACATTTCCTTCGAAAATATATGCGACGTCCAGAAAATAAGATGATTGAATTAAATAAATACTACAACAAAAACTGCCGAGTAATCATGTACGTTAGGATGGTTTCAATCAAGCTATTTGCACGAGAAAAAAATATTAAAAGGAGATTTCTAAGCTTGCCATAGTTTATATCAGGGTTTGCGTGTGAGCACGTGACATAGACTGCGCATACCTTAAAATTCGAATATCTGCGTTTGTGCACGATAGCAGTAGGATATATTTATGAGTTGTCACATAAGTACAGACATATTATATTTTGCTATTGAACCGAAAAGATTCGTAGAACTTATATTTCACAGCCAAATTTTATTTAATACTTTAGCAGTGTGACCTTGAATTTGATCCGAAATATGTCTAATATTATTAACTCGTAACACAAGCACTTCCATTTTAAGATGCGATCAGAGCTAAGATGCCTTTGTTATATTAACGAGATTTATTTCATGACAATGATTTTATATTAGGCACCTGATACCCGAATCAATTTATCAGTTGGTTTCCTGAAATAGTTACAAGAAACAGATATTTGATATAAAAAATTTTCCAAACCGAATATCTATGCGATTAGGATTGATTAAGAATTTAGGAGATGTTAGAACTAAAACAAACTAGTGTAGTTGAAACCGAGCACTTGACCAATTTAAATAGGTATTGGTTTGTTATTTTGTCGAAAACTGGCAAATAATTGGATTCCACGCAATAATTCAATCGTTTGAACATCGATGCATATAGACCATACAGCAGTTGCTTAGCATGCAAGCTTTGAATTTTTTTTTATTCTGTAACTAATGGCTGACTTCATTGGCGTAGAAAAAATTCGAAAAGCAGCCGTCGAAAAACACTTTCGTCGATTGTTGGCAATAATTATTTTCCAGCATAGAACGAAACAGCAGCAAAATCACTGCATAGGTGACACAATTTGAAATCTGTATGATTGTAAAATAAACACGATTGGAAAGGTGATCATTCAAATTTTTATTTTTGAGCAGCTGCTGAGTGGAATGACACGTAAGGCTAACACACTAGTATTCTTTATAAAATTTTCATCCTCGTCTTTATTCTTCTGATCCAAAACCGTCTAGCGGTAGAGAACGTTTTTGAACATATATTCTCAACTTGTCACGTTAACCCGACCTGGGGCTTAGAATTTTACCCTTAATAACGTTATAAAACCACTTTGAATACTGGGGAATCACTTTGGTTTTTTTATCTAAAGCGAAAACATAGCCAGAAAATAATTTTCAAAATGACATAGTACGAGACTACTACTACCTGCAATCCTCAGGAATTTTTAAATATATGTTTTTGAAAAATTTGTTCATCCAGTAATTGCAGAATGGAACCCATCCTTATAACCATATATTATTGATTATTAATTACAATATCAAATACAAATTCAGAACCAATAATTGTCATTTAGTAATCTCTCATCATTACAGTTTAATTAGCATCTAGTAGGTTTACTATAAGAAAGTGTTGCAGCTTGAGAACAGGTATGAAGTATTCATATTTTCATTGCGATCCTTCAATCGAAAAATAAATGAACTACATATCATTCAATATTTCCAATCATGCACATAGTGAGAATCGTTTACTTCTTCGATAGGACAAAATCATATGATTATTCTGTTATAAATAGTACGAAGTATTATTTCGTATATTTTTTTCAGAAAATTGTATACAATTTCAGATACGAAATAGTACTCGACAAGACGCATAGTTGTAATTATCCACGTTTCAAATCAAAGAGTTTTTGTATTTCTAGGACAAATCATCTTACCATTCAAAAATTGATTCACAGAGCGAGAGATCTTGAGACTACGTGACATAATTCCGCAGATTGTCTATTTTGAAGCTATTGGTGTTGCCACGTCGACTGTGCCTAATAGTATATCTTCGAATCATTGTCAAGATGACGGGTAAGGCTTAAATCGGACTCTAAATACAAATCGCACATGAATGATGATAAGTACGTTTGCTTGATTCGTTAATAGGCGGTGACTCCAGTGAATCCCAGACGACTGGTTTGGCTATTGGATGCACATTTGCCGTGATTTTAATGATAGTTAATGTAGTTTTAATCGTTTGGGAGGTTTTTAAACAAAATAACAAAGTGCAACCCCAATCAGGTAAGAAAAAGATGAGTTTAAAATCCAGTCATTTTTCTAGACATGAGACCATGTTGAGTCAAGTATTTCACAGAAATTCGTAACTTTATATACCGTAGTGGACATTTTAACTCTACGAAGAGTGCGCAAAAGAACAATGTTTCGCTATAAGCCATATGCTTCAAATGAATTCATCTATTATATTTGACACCTTTCCCCCTATAATTATGATTCTCTGTTTTTAAAAGTTCAGTTTTTGCAATTGATTGCTCGATTTTGGAGAAATGAAATTTTACTTAATGAAATCTACATGTCTATGAAGATTTCTGAATGTTTTATTTATTCCCTTAGCATAAACCAGTATTAGTAACTATACAATTTTACGGATTCACATGAATATCGAAATTTTGCATTATTTCAGTGACTTGCTTGGGTATGAAACTTGTCTCTATATCGTGCACTAGATTCGCTATCCTATAGCTTGCCTAAATAAAACAAACTAATGGATAGTAATTTCCTAGTAATTGAAAACAAACTACGACGTGAATCCATCATCCTCTTCAAACAGCTGTTACAGAATTCGTAGAAAGTTAAGTTTTGAGTTCACACACAAAGTGAATCGTGATGAGGGTGAAAAAATTATTCTAGTCACAGGATACACTGACTAGCTTCTATAAAATAGCAGTGCTTTGAATCGCTGAAACTGAAGAAAAAGCAACTCAGCCTAGAGTCCTCTAATGGATTATCACAACGGGTATGTTTCTAAAGTAAACGCATCATGATTTAGAACGGGATTCCCTGGATGATGTTCGTTCTCAAGGAATTTCTGAAATTTTACTATCAAATGAGTATACGTTTTCTAGCCTCGTTGTGGAAACCTTTAATTCTTCAGTTAAACATCGGATGGAGTAGCTTTTCTCTAATATAGTAGCAAACTATGAAGACAACAAATAGACAGAATAACACCCATCTCCATCATTTAGAAAATGTAACTAAATGGCTTGCTAATTATCTACTATATCAAAAATCAGAATATTGAAAAGGTAGAAAGCAAAACACACTAAAAAAGTCATAAGTAATATTGCGCAAAATACTAGGAGTGATTCATTCATATTAGAGAAGATCATTAGTCCGAACATATGACTTAAAAAATATTTTGTTCAAAATAATTCGAAATGTTTTAGTACGGAACGATATAAATTTATTTTAAATGACAATTCTCGTATTTTAAATTTACTTTGCGTTTGAATTGGTTTAAAGTTAAAGTTAAAATAAATTAATATGAAAATGCAATACCAAGAAAGTACTGTGATATTAGCGAAAGGGGTATACTATCATCGATATGGAAAGACGAGAAGTGTTTCCAAACTTTACAAAACATTTAATAAATAAAAAGCCATCCTTCCATTCAATACATTTAGACATTCTATCTCTATGTTGATATCAGTGGGATTGGCTGAATCACATCAGATAAGTGACATTCAAAATCCCAAGTTCTAATCTACTCGAATACTGGAATGAAAGCAAATATTCAATTATTAAAAAGCTTTTCAAGAAAAGTTCGTTTTGGCTCTGGAGAGGCACTCTTTGCATACTGCTTTCGAAATCACCTTTCTGTGCTATCGTATAAAAAGAATGTGTTCATATGCACAATTCAGTGAATTTACTTTACGTGGACGAAAACATAAAAAAACGGCGTTACGATGAATAGTTGTCTAACAACTTGTTATGCTCCATTTTTCTTTGGATTACTCGGAATGTTCAAAACTCTCCAGCGAAGTAATTCTCCTCAAGTTCAGCGAGCCAGAGACGTCAAGTGTTAGGATGGGAAACAAACTTATTTTATGACACCGAAATAGAGATTGCACTAAAGTATATGGCCCTACATGACTCTGACTGGTATTCTCCTCGTTTCATAACGAATCATTTTCATTTAATTAATTATTTAGGGTCAAGTTCATCAATTCCGTCAAATCTGTCACTTTCGTCAAATCCGCCACTTCCGTCAAATCCGCCACTTCCGTCAAATCCGCCACTTCCGTCATATCCGCCACTTCCGTCAAATCCGACAATGAGAAATAGGTTTTACATTACAATACCTGGCGTTAGCGACGACGAATTTCAGGGAAGCCGATTTCTTTTGCATTACAATGAAACTGAAAAATGTCCGTCTACTACTACAGTGATTGATTCCCTGATTGGTTTACCGCATGTAAATGATGAAAATCACCCAGTACTTCAGTTAATTAAAAAAGGAGATCCTGCACACAATGTGTTACGAGCATATAGTTCTAATGAAAAATTCGGTTCAACAGAGTTCTACAGTTATGTTAACAAGCTATTGCACGATGACAAGGACGCGAAAGTAAAAAACCTAATGCCATTCATTCGTAGAGCTACGTGGCAAATTAACAAGCATGGTCCAATCGAGTGTACTACAGTCTATCGTGGCATGACGCTCGACGAAAAACGTCGTAGTTATTTTACTCCTGGAAGAATATTTCGATTCCCAGGATTTACTTCAACAAGCTTATCGAAACATATGGCACGCAATTACGGAAATACTCTGTTCGAGATTCGAATTCCTCCTCGGTGTCAACAAGTGAAAGATATCTCAAACTTTTCGTGTTACAAGAATGAGCAAGAATGGTTGTTTTCCCCTTACTCCCGTTTTCAAGTTCGAGCAAACCAGCAGAATATAATTGTTTTAGATGCGATGGAAAATATGATATAAGATTGAAAAATTAGTCATGTTACTTCAAGAACAATAATCCAGCTTCTAATGAAGATGGTAATTGAATTAATGACTGGAATTGGGATATCATTAGTCACTACAGACATTTTCAAATCGAAAGCTTATACAGATAACGGGAAATAAATTTATTCATTGAGGTCTCTTTTTCAGTATTCTATAAATGAATCTGTTTTAGATTTCTTTTATTAAGACTAAGTCTTGCGAGCAGAATTTGTCATGCCAACATTGTCAGATGAATTTGTTTGCTCACAGATTTTTTTACTGTTTTGCTTTTGTGAGATGCTTCCTTTCTTGAATCATGTTAATCGAAGTTACAGCTTCTGTAACCAGTATGAAGAAACAGTCACAACTGCTTTTGATCAGGTGATAATGACACGGTATCTACTTATGGAATGTGTAAACATGGTTTTCCATCGTAGTAGCATTGTAATTTAAATAGAATCCATAATGAATATTATATCTAATGAAAGCGCGTCCAGAATGGAATTTATCAATTACTAAATGGTAAGGGTTTCGCAGGTATGTGGTGTATAAATAGTATGGGTCCTTAACTACACCCGCAAATCAGATTCTATTGAACCATGTTTGAAAAAAAGAAAAAATATTTTATTTGAGTGCAATGTTGCGCACCCCTTAGTAGAAAAAGAAAATAAATAGAAGCTTCACCATGAAACACAAGAGCGCGGTTAATGACACTTGCATTCGTACTTGTATTTTTCTTCCTACGTTACAGAAAATGCAAACTACATTATAAAAAACAATAACAACAAGACTAAATTGGAAATAACCAACCTATTGTGTCAGATATAAATACGAAATACGGCTGATTATGTATAAAAAATAAATCTATATGCTATTGTTCCATTTAGATCGTGAGTATAATTAGCTTTCATCATACACATCTCTATTAATATAAGAAATCATGCAAATGCGTTGATCTTGTGAAAATAAGGACCTATTACTCTTTTGTTGGTGCTATCCTTCAATAGATATCTATATCAAATAGTTATTGTGGTTTCAATACGACTAAAACGTGATCATAAGGAACACGTCTAAGACTATCATAATTATTCGATAAGAAACACAGCTGTATTATTTTTATTATAAAGTTTTTTCAGTAGAATTGTTGTATGTCGTTGTATTATTATTTTTTAATTCTATACATGCATATTGACAACGAGGGATATTGGAGAAGGATTTTTCATTTAAACAGTACGTTCTGCACGTCTTCATGGGATAGAGGAAACATGTTTACTAATTGAAAGTAACTACGAACCATTTTCGATGTAACGATTTTTAATCAGTCGTTAAGAAACTGCAATAGAAGAAAATAAATAAAAAAAACGAAGAACATAAAAGAAGAATGGTGCAATGTGAGTGGATATCTTGTGCAAAAATTTGAAAAAGAAGAGAATCAATTAGCTTTTGTTAACATTAGCATACAAGAGAAAATCGGATGATTAAGAAACACAATTTGTATCTTAAATTATTTAGTCATGTTATAAATTATAAATGCAATTACACCGGTATTATGAAGCAGTTTTGCTTCGTGTCTATCTTTTTCAGTATCAACTGTCATTTCAAAGAATACATATAGCAACAAAATGAAATCGTCACATTTACTAGAATCTACTATTTTTCATTATAGATTTGTAATTGAACTTCAATGACAATGCGTCATACAATTTCAGTCTGTATTGCAGGTGCTATTGGTTCGTTTGCTCTGTTGCTGCTTATTATTAGTGTAGGAACACCTGTGTGGCTTGATAATGGTTCAGGAAGCACCATTGGCCTTTTCAGTACATGTTATGGAGATAATGTTGCAACCACAATTGCACCTGGCGGTCCAGGTTGCTACAATGAAGATCGTGCACCCTCGGCAGGCCTGTCTGTTGTTGGTATTTTGCTGCTTAGTGGGTCTATAATTTTGACCATAATTGGTGCACTTTCGGAAGAACACAAAAAACAACTATTAGGGGCATCAGTAGTTTTGTGTTACTTTTCATCTATGTTCGTTATGTCCGCTTATGCAACATGGGGCGTTTATTCACGAGATGAAAATTTATATACTTTTCCAAGCACACCACCAGCTTCACTTGCAAATCATACAGCGATGGGATCTTCGTATAATTTATGTGTTGCAGCACATTACTTTCTCTGGACAGCACTTACAATAATTGCAGCGGCTTTTGGTTATACTTTAAATACAAGATAAAATTTCGGAGAATAAAATGACTGTTTTTAGTATTCAGGCTTCTATTGAGTATAAATGTACCAGAATCAAATCTCAATAGACAATCAGATCTGTTCTTTAGTTTGTTTTAATTCAATACTTTTTTCTTCCTATCATTAGCCCTGAAAAAATAGACTAATATTGACCTATAGAAACTGATTATTAATGTTTCTTGTAATTTTGTGTACCATTTTTCTATGTGACACTTTGTAACGAAATAAGAAGTTCATGATATATAGGTCATTTCATGTAAGCCACTACCGACTATTGCACAAGCTCCTCAATTCAGAGTATTGGTGCGTTATAAAGACTTTGAAGACTTTGGAAGAATGTCGTCTGAAAAAACTATTGAATTTTCTCTGAGAGTACTAGCGTAAAAAACATCACATTTTTACAAAGAATACATCTTAATTGTAAATAATTATCGTACAAAAATGACTCCAGACGACTGAACCGTGCGAGAGTTACGCAGTAGCATTAGGTACACGAGAAGATGATCATTTTAATATATTGTGCATACAAATAACTTATGAAAGAATTTTCTGATAGACTTCTCGTTATGGCTATAGAGAGAACTCATTGAGAGGTTACTGTGGTAGAAAGAAATGAACTAATACATCTTCGCCGAATTTTATTTTCGCCGACTCCAACTTCGCCGAATAAAAATCTTGGCCGAAAAATATCGAATCAAATTTGATCCATTCTAGATACAGAATTTTATCCTAACTAATTGCTTCAATAGTGACTTGATTAATTAAACCCATCTGAGTTGGTAACCCACACCCTCTCTTTTTGAAGTAATCCATTGAGTATTTAACTAAACTCCAACCTGTTCTTGATTCTGTGAACGGAAAATATTTACAGGCGGATCATTTTCAACTAAGCCTTTTTCAATTAGAAAAGATTGAAGTCACATTGAGGGATTCATTGTTTTCGTGTCGACTAATAAAAGCATATAATCCGCTTTGTGATTACTCTGAGAAACGCTTATAGAAAAACAGAAGATGATTTCGGAAAGGAGTCTAGAGTACGTCTAAATCCCCAATAAACTGATATTTCAGCCACAGCCATTGTGATCTCAGCACAACTTTATTTATCATATCCTACTATGTACGTCTAAATATAGTACGTCTGAATCTTATATGTCCAAATCACTACGTCCTAATCTGTACGTCTTATTCAATACTTCATAATCGTATACGTCCTAATCATTACGTCCTAATATAGTGTGTCTAAATCAGTATCAATAAATCTTTCTGTCCATCCATAAGTATTCCTCCAATTAACCCTCACTTGGAATGCTACAGGCATTGCCTGAGACGCACATCAATTGTCAAATTCGAATTACGTCCCACATAAACTCGGGAAACAAAGAACAGATACCGCACGATTATAAGTAATGCGATATTATGCATAGAAAAACAATGGGTAACCACAACAACCCTTTATTTAAGTGTCGCAGCGTGGGGCCGCCAGCGCCCCTCGCAGAGCCGCGACCAACGCTTGTCTCTGTATACACAATGGCATCTACCCTCAGCCATCATGGAGTTCAACATGTGAATTTCGGATGCAGCTGCTTCACAGGTGATGCCAACACTAGTCTACATGGTGCTGCTAGCATCCTACATGATGTTGCTAGACGTCCAGGTGATGCTACTAGCATCCCACACAGTGCTGCTAGTATCCTACGTGGTATTGCTAGAGACTCCGGCAATGTTGCTAGAATTTCAGGTGTTTTACTGGCATTCCAGGTAATGCTACTAGCATATCTGGTGATGTTGGTAGCATTTCAGATGATGCCACGTGCATCCCAGGTGATAATGCTAAAATCCCATGGTATCGTTAGATAGGGTAAGCCTGAAGAGGTGTGACGATTTTTCTCTATTAATTAAGACGTAAAGATTAAGACCTATTAGATTAAGACGTATAGATTAAGACGTAAAGATTAAGACGTAAAGATTAAGAACTATTAGATTAAGACGTATAGATTAAGACGTATAGATTAAGACGTAAAGATTTAGATGTATAGATTTAGAGATACACATAGATATATACAAGATTAAGACTTATAGAAAGGACGTAGACGTATAGCGATAAGAAAAGTTTGAAGCTTTTTTTCTATCGTTTCCCACCGAAACGATAAACCGGATGGACTCAATAAAAGGCTCTATTTATTGTCGATCAGCTATTGTTGTATTCACCATTTTGATTTCATTGGAACATGACTGTTATGAAACTTACCATGATTAACTGTTGGATCATTCTAAAAACAGTGACTTTGGTTTCTGCCTATCCATCACAACAAGTAGGGAATTCACAATTTAGTATAAATATTTATGTAATCAATTTCATGATGTTCTAGTTTTTACCTGGGCAAGGTTAGTAGACAATCAATGGCGAAATCTTTTTCAGTCTTTTATAAAATTTTATAGTGAAAGATGGCGAATATTTAGTTGGAGGCGACATGATTTTTCCAACTCACGTAGGTTTATAAAATATAATTGTATCTTAATATTTATCGACTACTGTAGAATATGATGCGTGGTGTTGCGCAGAGCACAGCTGGCACTCGATGGACAAACGGAATTGTGCCTTATGTCATGTCGACTGCCTTCAGTAAACGATCTCTTTTTATTAAATGATATTAATAAATCGATTATTTCCTCGTCAATGTAGCTGCTCAACAACAAACACTTATAACTGGTGCTATGAGAAATATAGAACGATTGACTGCCATCAGCGGTCGTAAATGTGTACAATTTCGCCCAAAGATTGCCACAGATCGATATTCGATTTTGATTAAAACAGGCAGTGGATGCTCGTCACATGTATGATATTTTTTCACTTCGTTTCGTCTAAACAGGAATAAACATTTCTTTGTATCTTTCCATTGCATTTCTTTAGGTCGGTCAAAACACAGGATGGACTGGTCAATTGCAATTGACATTGCAAGTTTCTACGACGCCACAAAGTTCACACTGCATGTATGAACGAACTATCATGCACGAACTCTTGCATACATTAGGTAAAAATCCTTCTTCATGGGCATTTTCTTACTGATATTAAACTGGCTGATGTTTCATACGCCTTGATATATATGTTGTTAGGATTCAATCACGAACATCAACGATCAGACCGAGATTCGTTCTTGACAATTAACTACGCAAATATTCAGAATAGTAGACCTTCGATTTATATTTAAACTATTTCTGTATGAAAATCTACGATAGGTTATGTGTTCGCATTCGATAAGTTAACATCAGCAAATAGTGATAACCAAGGAACACCATATGATTATAGTGAGTATAAATCGGGTTAATTTCAATTTTCTAATTTAGAAATATAATTTTTGCGAATTTCAGATAGTATAATGCACTACGGTCGGAAAGCTTTCAGTTCAAATGGACAACCAACAATGGTGCCAAAAAATCCTACAGCTACTATTGGTGTTAAAACAACTCTTAGTCCCATCGATATTCAAGAAATTCAAAAATTTTATCAATGTAAATGAGAAATAAAACTTTGCTCTTGATAACATGCCTTTGAAGTATCATGTCATAACGAGATTGACGGAAAATTATTCTTTTAATTGCTTGAGGTTTCGTTACAATTCTACCATGACTTGTGACCACGACTGATTGAGAAAAATAAATCATTACTCAGATTGATCACAATAATTCATATAATTGCTTGTAACCAGATTAATGTCTACGTGAAAATTAGAATGATGTCATAATCATGTTACATCTTCTATTGAACTTTGAGGGTGTAGATGTGAGTATATAAAAGACACACAACAAACCCTACACACCAACTCATGCATCGTCTGAAAATTATGAAAAATCGGCAAAGTAAGACTTTTCGAGCGCTGATTTTCCAGAAACATTCTGAAAAGTCTCAAGAAACCTCGAGAGTATGGTCTTCTGATTCACATTCCTTTTTTACTCGGTTCAACAACTTTTCCGTGGATCCGAATAGACAATAAAGTCTTTGTCTGAAAATGTCTCTCCGCTTTTACCCATGATTTTACAGAAAAACGATTGTTCTCGACAAAGAAAAGAAAAAACAGATATATACTTTTGTGACGACTCCCATAGTGAGTTGAATGAGATCAAAAAAAAGCTTCTCTCACTTACATAGAAAAAATACATATATGATTACAAAATCAACCTATAAGCATTACAAGCGGTGCCCTTCGAAGTGTTTGCAACAAAAACTTTTCTTTATGCAATTTTTCATATTGAAGTTGAAATAAATGTGGCAAATTCGGATTTCATCCGAGAGTTATGTGTACTGCAAAAAGTGCATGGGACATATGAGTCATTCTAGAATGTCTGAACATCAAAATTATCATGAGAAACTAGGCAATTTGGTTTCTGCACGCAGTTTTTGTGCATTTTGAGACGCTTTTCAGGCGATGCTTCGTTAGAAAGCTATGATTTAGTTCAAAACTAATATCAGATTCGGAATCAGCGTTAAAAACTGAGTCGATTTATATATATTGTGGATAATTCGGAGAAAAAAGTTTTTTTGAAAAATCCCTGTACTCCCCCTCAGGGATGGTCTGATCAAAAATGACGATTTTTTCAATAGCTCAGCCATTTCTTGTCGGATCCTTCTCATCTTCGAACTCGACCTAGATAGTGATGAGACAATTCTGTGCACAAAAGTTCAGCTCAATCGAATGTAATTGTGAAGAGTTATCGAATAAACGGACGGACGGACGGACACACTGAACAATTCTATAGTGTACTCTTTTTTTTTTGAGTACATAAAAAGAAGCAAGTAGAAAATTTTTCACATTTTCGAAAGCTTTTTTCGACCTGAAAGGAGCATTTCCTGATGCTAAAAGCTAGTTCTTCGTAATCAGCAGCTTGAAACTCACCAATTTATTTGAAAAACTGCGAAAAATATGTTTACTTGATGTGTGAATTCCCTGCACATCATATTTCTTATGAAAAAAAAATCATGTGGGCAATAGCACTTTCAAATAAGGATTGTATTGTGCAATAACATACTTGATAACATCAATCGATCGGTGACGTCTTCATATTTTTTCGTGTTTTCGACTCACACTGTGTTACTTGAAGCAAAACAAATGAAAGAATCATGTGCACGATGTTATTTTTTCTTTTTTTTTAGCTGCTGTCTGTACATACATAACCACGACTATATGTAGGAATAAACCTCCATTGTTAAGAAGAGCATTTATTTGTTTGTTTTCGTTTTTTCTATTTGCTTGTTGCTTTACACAGAAAATTCGTTATCGCCATTTCCACAGTATATAGAAAGGAAAAAATCTTTGCAAATGAAATAGCAACGACAGAATATATACAGAGCAGACTAATTACCTTTTTCTATCATTTATTTATTCCATATAGATAGCATGAACTCAATAACAGCTGATATTAGTGAAGGTCCAGCTATTGGTAAGAAAGTCAATACTATCTTGGAACCTCAACAATTTCAGCGATATCTTCAAAATTTTGTTCTGGTTTGGCTTGATCCTAGTCTCGATGAATCAAGTGATGATTTTAAAAATTCAATACAATACCTACGGAATATCACAAAATTTATTGCAATTTTTACAGATGTTGAACGATGTGTTGATTACATCAGTGACATCACAGATGAGCACGTCTTCATGATTGTAGCTGACTCACTTGGAAGGCATTTAATATCGGATATCGAAATTCACACTTGGCTACAATTAGATTCCATTTATGCTCTGGATAATAAGCCATCAACTCAGGAACAGGGGACTCAAACAACATCAAAGTTCAAAGGTGTATACACGCAAATTGAATCAGTTGGTGAAGCATTACAATTTGACGTTGGGCAGTGCGATCGAGCTATGACTCCGATGAGTTTTAGTGGTATCGATCCATTATTTATGTATACACAGTTGTTAAAAGAAGCACTTTTGCAAATCGAAGACGATGATACAAAATCAATTAAAGAACTTGTTGACTACTGTCGTGTCCAGGATGATATTCCTGCAGGTCATATAGATAAGGTTGAACGTGAATATCGTAGCCACACACCAATTTGGTGGTATACTACACCATACTTTATATATTCCATGCTCAACCGCGGGCTTCGACTGATGGATGTCGACATTATACTTAAAATGGGCTTTTTCATTCGACATCTACACAAAGATATCGAAACTTTACACCGCCAACAACAATCCGCTGAAACACTCGAAGAATCCTTTCAAGTTTACCGTGGACAAGGTTTATCGTTAGAGAATTTCAAAAAAATGCAAAACACTACAGGTGGACTAATGTCATTCAACAGCTTTCTTTCTACAAGTCGGGATCATAAAATCGCCTTTATGTTTGCACAATCAGCAGCAATGAACAACGATCTACAATCAGTTGGCATAATCTTTGCTATGACCATTCAACCCTCACATTCCATGACATCATCTGTTCCATTCGTCGACGTGAGAACGACCGGCTATTTCGAAGAAGGAGAAGAAGAAATTCTTTTTTCAACACATAGTATATTTCGCATCAATCAAATTCAGCATATTCATGACGATCATACTGATCGACTATGGCAAGCTAATCTCACTCTCGTGGGTGATCATGATAATAATATGAAAACGTTAACAACCTATTTAAGTCAAAACCTTACAAAAGAAAAAGGTTGGTCTCGACTTGGTGACATTCTTATTCACGTTGGGGAATATTCAAAAGCCGAACATCTCTATCATATCCTTCTTCACAAAGCACTGTCAAACACAGAAACTAAGCATTACAATGATCAACTTGCAAAAGTGTACCAAAACCTAGGAGAGTACACTAAAGCACTGTCCTATTACAAAGACGATCTAGAGAAAAGCCTAACAATTCTCCCTCCTAACCATCCTCAATTGGCTACAACCTACCACAACATTGGTTTGGTATATTTAAAATTAGGCGACCACTCCAAGGCACTTTCATCGCACGAACGATCACTTGAAATCAGAAAAATAGCTTTACTTCCGAATCATCCCGATCTGGCTACTTCGTACAACAATATTGGCGAAGTGTACAGAAACATGAGCCAATACTCAAAAGCGCTTTCTGCGTATGAACAATCACTTGACATAATGAAAACAGTTCTCCCTCCGAATCATCCTGACTTAAGTACTGCTTACAACAATATCGGTGCTGTCTATGCAAGTATGGGTGACTACGCAAACGCACTTTCATCCTATATACAATCACTTGAAATCACGAAAATATCTCTCCCTCCGAATCATCCAGACTTGGGCACGTCTTACAACAACATCGCCGGAGTATATGTCTATATGGGCGAATACTCAAACGCCCTTTCACCGTACAAACGATCACTGGAAATCTGGCACAAAGTTCTGCCTCCTAATCATCCATCGTTGGCCACTGCATACAACAACATCGGTGAAATGTATAGACATATGAGCGAGTACTCGCAAGCACTTTCATCGTATACAAGAGCACTTGAAATCATGAAAGTAGCTCTCCCTCTAAATCATCCTTCCTTCGCTGTTTCATACAACAATATCAGTTTGGTGTATCATAGTATGGGCAAGTACTCGGAAGCACTTTCATCATACAAAAGATCACTTGAAATCATGAAAATATTTCTCCCTTCTGATCATCCCTCGTTCGCTACTTCCTATAGCAATATTGGCGCAGTGTATATGAATATGGGTGAGTACTCGCAAGCAGTTTCATCGTACGCACGATCACTTGAAATTATGAGAACGGCACTCTCTCCTAATCATCCCTCATTGGCTACTGCATACAACAACATCGGTGAGCTGTTTAGAAATATGGGCGAGTATTCAAAGGCACTTACATCACATGAACAATCACTTGAAATCAGGAAAATAGCTCTTCCTCCAAATCATCCCTCGTTGGCAACTTCCTACAACAATATTGGCATGGTGTATGTAAATATCGGCGAGTACTCGAGAGCACTTTTATCATACGAGCACTCACTTGAAATTATGAGAATAGTTCTCTCTCCAAATCATCCATCACTCGCTACTGTATACAACAACATCGGTGAGGTGTATCGAAACATGAACGAATACTCGAAAGCATTGTCATCATACGAAAGGTCACTTGAAATCATGAAAAAAACTCTCCCACTCAATCATCTGGAATTTTGTAGTACCTATGAGAACATCGGTGCAGTATATGTGAATATGGGCGAGTACTCGAAAGCACTTTCGTCCTACAAACAATCACTTGAAATCATGAGTATAACTCTCCCATCTGATCATCCAGCCTTGGCCATTGCACACAACAACATTGGTTTGGTGCATAGGAACATGGGCGAGTACTCGGAAGCACTTTCATCATACGAAAGATCACTTGAAATCATGAAAATAGCTTTCTCTCCTACTCATCCCTCGTTGGCTACTTCGTACAATAACATCGGTGAGTTGTATAGGAATATGGGCGATTACTCGAATGCACTTTCATCGCACAAACGATCACTTGAAATCAAGAAAGTAGTTTTATCTCCAAATGATCCCTCATTAGCAAGCTCATATAATAAAATCGGTGTGGTATGTGATAGCATGGGCGCGTACTCGGAAGCACTTACAGCATACGAACATTCACTGGAAATCATGAAAATAGCTCTGCCTCCAAATCATCCGGATTTTGGTACTGCCTACGATAACATCGGCTCAGTGTACATGAATATAGACGAGTACACGAAAGCACTTTCATCATACGAAAGATCACTTGAAATCATGAAAATAGATCTTGGACCGAATCATCCTGACTTAGCCACTACACACAACAATATTGGTGTGGCGTATGATAGCATGGGCGAGTACTCAAAGGCAATTTCATCATACGAAAGATCACTTGAAATCATGAAAATAGCTCTCCCATCTCATCATCCTGACTTGGTCACTGCCTACGATAATATCGGTGTATTGTATGACAAGATGGGCAAGTACTCCGAAGCGCTTATAGCATACGAATGTTCGCTTGAAATCATGAAAATAGCTTTGCCTCCAGCGCATCCGCAGTTCGCTGTTATGGAGAAAAGGATTGAAATTGTGAAAAAGAAAATATAATTATTATTTTTTGCTGTCACAAAATAAGTTTCCTCGGTTTTTCTTACTCTTGTAGGGAGTACAATGCTATTTATTAAGTTTATGTACCTGAATATGTGTTTGACTCTTGTCTAAAATCTCATGGAGTGAAGGATACAATAGCGACTTGGTAACCTGTAGCTTATATGCTCAACGACCATTTCCTCAGTCGAGTAAAGATGATATAGAGAAGAAAAAGCATGCCTATAATCATTTTCAATGATGCATATGCACTATTAGCAACAGAATGAAAGTCACTCGATTGGGATACTGAAGCAACCGCACGAATTCGAATCAAGAATTGAACAGAGACTGTAACGAGATGCATGATATCCACATAAGCATAAAAGTTAGTGTACGAGGGAACGACATAAGTAACGATAAATATTGCAAGGGGTAAAATCTATAGTAAATTCCATAGAGTTACCCCTTTCTCGCATAGAGATTTGTTGATAGTCGTCGATTACTGTTGATATGATTGTGTGTAAAGAAAACAGTACCAGTATGGCAGATGACTCTTAGTGCGGAAGACTGAAAACGAATTTGAGATAGCCTTTTGAACCCACACTTGTGCAGAATTGTTCATATCCTTGTAAAAGTGATGTGATCTTATTTAAAGTAGTGGTGCCGCGCATATAATTGATATTGTAACCACTGAACCGTGCAATACCAGTACCCACTACTCCTATCATGTCTTCCTTTTTGTTTCCTATATCTTGATTAATATTGGTTATTTCTTTATCTTCTATATTCTTTGTTGCATTGGTTTTTATTAATTGTATTATTATTATATTATTGGTTCTTCCGCTTCTCCACTGTTTTATCACATCAAAATCTTTATCACCTGTTTCTTTCACGTCCTATAATTGGCATCCTCTTTTTCGTATTCTTGATTGTTATTCAATAAATCGGTAAGTATTCTTTCACTTTCCCCGTCATTTATAAACACTTCAGGATCAACAATGATCATTGTCTAAACCCTGCATTTCCACAATGTTTGCGCAGTGAAGTATGTTGAATTGATCTTACTGAATAAACTATGGAATACTTTTATTATGTAAAACAAGCAATAATAACAATGATATTATTATTTGTTTACAGAAAAAAAATCATTCAAAGAGTAAAGCAAATTTTGTACAAGCTTTATTTATTATTTTCTACGTATTAAATGATGTCACCCTTTTGCTGCTTCGATTCAAGTAAATGATAACTATTGAGTTGTTGTCGACATTGTTCTTCGCTTTCAAATATATGCATTTGAAACGGTGAACCACGTACATGTTCACCACTCCATTTAACTGACACAAGATAAAGTCCTGGTTCAGTTGGATTATATCGACATATAATTGTGCGATCTTGTAAATGTTGACGTTCCATTTCAACACGAAAAGCACCTTTTGGACCTCGAACTTTTACAGTTAATTGTCCAACACCTGTTTTTATTCGATAGATATAACATTCTCTATATTAGCGCAAAAGCAATTTTACCTGCTCCTTTTGTTTCACAAATAAAATGCGGTTGAAATGTTGAAAGAATACCATGTTCAATACCAGGGCCAAAAACATGTACTTTACCTAAGCACAGAAAAAATTTTTATTTCTTTTTTTTGACAAGATTCATATAATTACATACTAGCATCTGGTGGACTAATCACTTTAATTATATACGGACTTCCTGGTATATGTTCACCATTGTATTTAATAGTTAATATATGTCTTCCGATTTCTTCTGGCTTCACAGATAATGTACATGTTCCATCTCGATGATCAACAAGTCGACAGATTGCTGTCGTATTAATTCCATGACAATAGACTGTTAATTCTCCTGGCATAGCCGCACGTGTATCAATAAAACATTGCATTTCTTTCCCTATTACACCCATTCGTAAGCCATCACCTGAACAAAGAACTTGTGAAGCTTGGTGATTATTTGGTACAACAGTGATTTTAAATGGTGATCCATGAATTTCTTTTTCTCCCCATATTACATTCAATAAATAATCACCTGGTGCGACGGGTTTATAAGAACAATGAAAAAGATTTTGTTTTTTTTCGATCTGATGCACTCGAATTTCCATATTAGTCTGCATGTCAACCAGTCGTACGATTGGCTTGTAATTCCCATGATTCGCAACTTGTGAAGTATCAATCGTAAATTCTGCTTGTTCACTAACTCGTGCTTCATATAAACCACGACCATACGTTTTCACTTTGGAATTTTCTGCAGATAACGAAGTTGCGACAATTCGAATAGGCATATTCGGTAACAAATTGCCAGCATATGTGATTGTTAAATCATATTTACCATCTTTTAAAATGATAAAACTAAGAGTCGATGATGAATCCTGTTGAGCAATACGTAATGGTATAGACGTTCTATCTTCGCCGCGAATATCTGCTTTTAAGATACCTGAACGGGAAAAAAAAGAGATGTTCTATTGAATAGAGAAAAAATGATTGTACCGGGTCCAGCATGTGAAGTGTCAAAATGAATTTTCTTCTCTTCATTACTAATCACATGCATACGATTTTGTGAATCCAATATCGATTGCCAACCACCAACGATCAGTACACGTTCTTAAACATATTTTTTTTCTATTAGTTTATCGACTCAGCGCTATCAATAAGTGGCGACTAAAGTACTTTACTTTCGGATAGAAAAGGGTTTAGGAAAATAAAGTATTTCAGTCTCTACTCTTGCATTATCTTCAATCAATAAAAATATACCTGGATTAGTTACATTTGCTGTAAATGGACTATTTAGAATATCTTTTTCATTCCATTTTACACTAATATTAATAAAACCAACTTGAACAGGTCTATACGTTACTTTATATAGACGGTCATTAATTCGATCAAGCATATTTTTAATAACAGAATTAGAACCTTACGTTAAAAGCAACAAATAGAATTTACTTCATCGATTGAAATTTTTACCTTCAATATGAACTTTTAGATCACCTTGCATGTCTTTCGTATCGATCATAAATGTTGCTTCTTGCTCATGTGAAGCGTGATGAATTCCATCGCCATATGCCGTTACAATAGGCATATTATTAACCATCATTTGAATAGGAGTACCTTTTCGACGAGAATAATTAAACATTATTTTAAAACAAAATTCTATTCATACCTGGCACAATGTCAAAACCAAATTTAGCATTTAAACGATGTAAACCAATTTCAGTTGGTGTAAAATATATCTTTTTTATTTTCAGCGTATCATCAATTTTAATAGGAACTAATCCAATAGAAGAAAAAAGATTTATTTTGATAATCTCAATCATTTGTATCCTACCATTGATACCCATCGGTGAAGTAAGGGTAACTTCTAGTGGTACATTTCCTGCATTATTCAAATTAATGCTTAATGCATTTTCTACGCCGGCAAGAACATCTTTTGGCAATGAGCCGATTCGTATTTGTGATGGATCGTAGACTTCAGTAAAAAATGGACTCTCTTGTATTGGTACATTTGCAAATGTAATATCAATACGATATTGACCTAACAAACACAAAAATAGATGCGTGATTTTCAATTCTATTTCACTCACCAACTTTTCTTGGTGTAAATTCACCCGTATAATCTCCGTTGGCTTGCGGGAATAATTTTACATCGACTGGTTCACCTTTCGGACCTGTTTAAAAGAGGAATGAATTTCGAAATTGAAAATAAGAAAATAATTAATTCATACCGACAACTAATGATCCACCGAGAGCATGCAGTAAACGTCGATTTGGATCAAGCAAATTAATGGCTTCTTTATTTATTAAATTACGTAAAGCATTGATCACGTGTTCATTCGTTGGCAATTGTTTTGCTATTTCAACCAATTGAAATGATACGATGGCATTACCTTATTAAACATAAAAATCAGATATACTACATTCCTAGATCTAAAGATTAATCTGATAAGGTTGTTCCCTATGACTCGAATAAAAAGAAAACGGTTAAAATTCAACAAACCAAGTTTTTCTTCAATTGTCAAATTTCGAATACGTTCTCGTGTCAGTCGTAATTGAGCAACGAGAAGTATTGTTAATGATGTTTGAAAAATTTGTGATGGAAATTGTTTCAATTGTTCATAGTTTTCCAGTAATTGAAATGAAATTTTTTGCCCACATTCACCAACACAGAGATCTTGAAAATAAATGAAATTCATTGTTTTCTCGATCTATAACAAAAAGATGCTTCATACTGAATATCTTCGCATCAACAGTTCCTCGTTGTCCGTGACAATGAACACGAAATACTCCACGATCATTGAGACGTAAGCGATGTAGGCATTGGCCAGATATTTGAACGGCTTGTTGTCGATTGACATGTACGGAAAATGGAGATCCTAAACGAAACGAATATTGAATACGATGGAATAATTTCTTTCTCTACCTTGAATAGATTGATCTCCATTGAATATATTAATAAGATAAAGACCAGGTTCTTGTGGAATGAAATTTATATGAACAAGATTTTCATTAACTATTGTTATAGTTGATGGAATTTGTACAGTCTCGAGAAGAACAACTGCTCGAATTTGCGCGTTAGATCCTGATTTTGTACGAACTTAAATTTGTGGAAAACAAAAATACTCAAATCAAAATAAACTGTTAAATGTCTACGCACTTTGTATTCGACAGGGTATATTGGTGAGACCGGAAAGAAGACTCTTTCCATTGTTATCTTTAACTTGGATAAGATAGGGTGAACCTTGAAAACAAATCAATGTCCTGAGATTAGGACATTCATTGAACAAGTATTTTTTTTAGCTTACTCATAATAGGTAATCCATTATGAAGTAGATGAATTTTATAAGTGCCGATCACATTGGGTCGAAATTTCAGATGCCAAGTATGTTGATGTTTTGTTTGGTCAACTTGGCACGGAACCGACATTCCATTGCAAGATATTTGCCCAAATAGAGGTGATTTATCAGTAATAACTATCAATGGAAAATAAAATTTAGAATTGACTTTTGAGAATAAATAAATTACTTTGTAGACAAACATCGTCATCAATTCGAGGAATATCATGCGGTAGAATTTTTTGTATAGAAATAGTGTGACCCGTTGATATTGTCGATAATGTAGGTGGTGGCAAAAGTGAATAAACATCGGTATCGATTGATTTCCCTTGCACAAGTTGATTGTTGAATAAAATTCGTAGCTGATATCGTCCAGGTTCATTTGGAATATATTGAACAAGATATTCATTATTGTTTAGTTCATTTATATGACATCGGCAAGGATTAATTGATGTTTGTGGTTGAATTAATTCTGCTTTTAATTGACCTTGTCCAGCTAAACTTGTATTCACTGCCCCCCAACAAAAAAATATCAGTGTTTGGTTTCATCTGATTCCATAAAAAAATTACCTTTATAGGCAACAGTCGTTCGTACAACTACGGGTTCACTATGTTCAGCAATTAACGAAATACCTTGAATATCATATACATTTACATCTACAGGTGTGCCTATAATAAAATATATTCGATCGTTAGCTAAAGTCTTCAAAATGTTAGTTTCATTGAAAAACATAATTTCACTATGCAATAATTCTTTTATGATGAATATTAAACTGTGCTTATTCGTTGTTTTTTGATCATTGATCAATTCATTAGTTTCGAAGAACAAAAAAAAGCTATTTTGTTTTCGTCTGTTTCTGACGAAATGATCAAAGACAACAGTCTATCAATTTGTTTCTGTTCGGAAAGCCAAACAATATAGACAAATTCTCATACTGTGTCAATATATGATTAGTCAATGCCAACAATATATATCGTTTCTAAGCTGATTATCATATCTTCAAAACAACGACAACGCATACTCATTAATTGATAAAGATGACAAATCAGACGTAGAGATAATGGCGAAAAAAAAAAATAAAATAAAAGGTGAGAAATCATTGGTTGCCAAGTTATTCTCAACGAATCTTATTTCATATATAATCGACATTTTCGAATATATCACAACAGAATTGAAACGATGTCAAACGAAAAACATCAACAACATAGTCCGTACGATTATTCCGTTAAACGTCTTCTATCTCAAGATACACATTCTACATCAACAGGTAAGTCGAATTTAAATGCTCTATCGACGTTTAAGTCATCGCTATTTCTAGAACGATCAAGTGTTCTTCTAAATCCACCACCGAAAAACCGTGCACGTCGTGCTCGCACTTATTTCGATGATCGTTCCATTCAAGTCCTTGAAAATGCATTTCTACAAGAACAATATCCGGATATTCATCGACGTGAACAATTATCAAATGAAATCGGGACCAGTGAAGCACGTGTACAAGTAAAATAAAAATTTTCTCCAAAAAAAAAACATTTCCGGAAATTGTTTTTCTTAAGGTTTGGTTTCAAAATAAACGATCTCGTTGTCGTAAACGTTTATTAACGAAAAATCTCGGCAATGAAAGTGCTATTGAAAATGATGAAACCAATGCTAAATTAAATCATGATAATTCATTCGATGATTTGCAATCTCGAACACCAATGAAAAATATTCCGACCGCAAATATGTTACCGTTTACTCCAACGCCAGTTCAATCGCTTTTGGCTACACACTTTCCTTTTTTTCTTCAGCATTTCTATTAAAATCTTTTCTTTTCGTCTTGTTGTGAATAATTACATAATAAATATTACATACCGTTTATTGGAATATTTCTATAGGCTAAATAAATTCGATAGGTACCAATTTTCGACGGTGAAAACGAAATTCTACAACGGTTTTTTGTCAAAGATTGAAGTTGACAAGGAATTTGTATCGGTTTTAATTGATTATATATCATCACAAAGAATTTGCCTTGGCCAACGTTATCAACATTACCTAACAAGAGGATAAGTGTATGTGTGATAAATTCAATAGGTGTGAACAATAACGTACAGATAAAATGGCAATCATTGATTGCTTGTAATGGATGAAACGGTTCGAGATGAACTCCATTGGGATTATAAACAGGAAAATTGACTGGACAACCTAGAAAATGTGCTCAAGTTACAGAAATATCAAAGATGAAAGAATTTTTTTTTCACCTAAAATATGTTGTCCAAGAAAATCTTTTAATGTAATTAGATAATCGCCAGCAATCGTCGGTCGAAATTTGAGTAAAAATGTATCATTATGTTGACGAGTTGCTAGTAGAGGAACTTTCATTCCATTTATAGTGATATGTACATAAGCAACATGAGGATGATCAACTATGGATTGAAAAATAAATGGTCTTGTAATATAGAAATTAATGATAGGAAGTTACCCAAAAAATGTACATCAGTATCAACAAGTGGATAAGCATTTTGTAGAAGAATTTTAAATGGATACAATCGAGGATCTATAAAATATTGTTAATAATTACTTGGAAAAGGATGGAGTTTTCTTCTTTCTATTTTTGACATACTGAATATGATATCGATGGGTTGTCCACGGTCGAATTTTTCTTTTAATGATTGCAATCGTTGAATTTCTGTTTCATTCAATGGTATAGATTGTATTTTTGTTTGATGTGTTTCTTCTGATCTTATAATTTGTTCATTTCCATGATGTTTAGTGGCCGATGAATCTTTTTTCCGAGAGAGCACTTCGTTTGATTTCGATAGCAAAGTGCGGAATACTTGTGAAGGCAATGCGTGAGGCCTTTCTTGTTGTTGAGCAAGTAGAAATAATTCATGTTTAGAATAGATTGAACGTCCACGTTCTTCTAATTCAGGCAATCGAACTATTTGAACTAATAGAAAGAATAATACAATCATTACGATGATCAATCGAGATATTAGAGTTACTTTGTTCAACGTTTTCAACAATTATTTGAGATGGTGTTCGCGATATAGGGATTCGATTGAATAATATTGAAACGGTATGCGGACCGGCAATAGTGGGTTTAAATTGAACAGTAATATAGCAGCTTGATTGTTTTTCAACGTGAATAGGAACATGCTGATTGTTTGGATCTGCAAATAAAAGTTGAAAATGTAATGAAAATAAGGCGAAAGTCACAAAACCTTTTATCATAATTTTTAATGTTCCCTTTCCAGCTTGTGTTGGATCAATATGAAATTCGTGCGTTGTATTGATTTGTATTTTCTTAGGAAAATTAATTAAGTGTACAGCAGATGGATCGAATGCATAGACAATCAATGGATTATCAGTAATGAGTTCATTGTCTTCTAAAATATGAATTTCGACATGTCCTAAAATGATCATGTTTATGAATTCTTTTTTTTTCTCGGCAGAAAACTCTAAACATACCAACAATAGTGGGCTGGTAGGAAATACGTTTTCGTCCATCAGAAAGATGTTCTGCATGATAAGCAATTTCATCTCGATTGGCATCTATGCATTAGAGTATAATATTAATTTCGCTTAGAATCGTATATCTCTTACCATAAATAGCAATATTGAATTTATTATTTGGATCTTTGAAAGTAAACCTCGATATAGTACGAACACATGGATCGATGAGATCATTTATATCAAGTATTTGTACTTGAGGACTTGATCTATCATTACATGTAGGCGTGCTAGAAGATTCGTGAGCATCCGGAGGGGCAGTATTTGTTACAGCTTCCTTTATTGACGATGTTAAACGTGCAGGTGAAATCGATGATAATCGAGATGATTGAAATTCTGATATTTCACTTATTGTGGTTAATTCTTTAACTGGAGAAAATAAGTCTGATACACTATTCGAATTATTATTATTATTCGTATTATTTTCATCTCGTAGCGTTCTATCGTTGGGCGAAGGTGTATCAAGTGGTGATAATGGAACATAATCGTCATCGAAAGCAAATATTGGTAGCACAGCAAAAGAATCATTATCATCGTTTGACATACAAATCCAATGAGTTCCTTCGATTAAAAAACACACAATGTTTTTCTTTTAAATCGAAATCTCAAGTTGATTTACCTATTCGAACAGGCGATAACGATAGAGTCAATTCGCCGTGTTCATTTTTCGAACGTTGAAATGGTATTGGTCTTTCAAATGGATCTAGGAAAGATCATTTTTAAATAGCCAAAAAAAAACAAACCTGACTTACCGGTAACACATATTTCTAATTTATTATTTTCATCAATAACACCTTCAAAAGTATGTTCAAGAATTTCTTTTATTTGTACACGAGGTACAGGATCGTAGGGTTGTTGAGCCGTGAACGCCATTATACGTATCGGACAGACATCAAGGACTTTATTTTGCGTACGAATAAATACTTCATGAATATCTAAACAAATTTGGTTTCTTTCGATCGTTCATAATACAAACATAAAAGTTTACCTGCTCGCACTGGTATATATTCAATAACAAGATCTCTATTTGAATTGCGATAGAATGCAGCAGGTATCGTATGAGCTAATGGATCTATAGGAGATAAAATTATTTGCAACAACAATCAATGAGCATTTTCTTTTTACCTTTGACAATAACATTAACATCATCGGCAAAAACTTTCTTATGGTCAATAATTATTTTTGTGATATCTTCGATTCCACCATTCCGAAATAAATCAATTGTTTCAGTAATACAAAATAAATCATATAATTGTTGATCATCCTCATCTATAATAGTCAATTGATAAGTGCCTAGAAATAAGAGGATTTAAAAATGAAAATCCAAGTTTCTTTGTTACCAATCGCAGTTAATGAATAAGAAATTTTCCATTCTAATCCATGCCGTTCAATTTCAATTGGAACTTCAATATTATTTGAAGCTAAAATATATCGATATAAAAAAAAGACTTTTATCGTTCTAGAAAAGTTAATTTTACATCGTAGTTGAACTTTTATATTCTCATTATTGGACACAATCGAAATAAAATTTAGGCTATTCGGATAAACAATACGTTCACCGAAAACAGTGCGTTCATAGTCAGCCGGTAATACATCCATAACGGCAAGATTTATGGGTGATTTATTACTATCGATTTGTATTTGATAGATTCCCTCTTCAGTCGGTTCATATTCAATACGCCATCGCCCAAATGAATCTTGTATACGTGAATGTTTTACTATAACTTTATGTGGATCTAAACAAAAAATATAATCTTAGACAAAATAGAGAATTTCGTATACGCATACCTGTTACGTATATATTAAAATCTTCGTATATATCTGTAATTGATGTTTCACAAATAACCCAAGCAACTTCGCCAACTTTTGTACCTTGTAATTCTCCACCAATTAAAAATTCATAATCATCATCATCATCGTCGTCGTCGTTGTCGTCGACTTCAGAAGCACTATTATCGCTTGTTAGCGGATCAGCGACATTAATCGTAAATGGACTTCCTTCTATAGATACGCCATTAAATGCAAGATCAATCGAATGTATGCCACTCATTTCAGGGACAAAAGCGATATCGAATTTTCTGGCTTGAATACTTTTTAATTCAGCAGGCAATGTTCGTTGTCCATTACTAATTGTAACTTCTAAATGGCCTTCGCCAGCACCTTGCGTGTCAACGGAAAATATCGATGATGCACCAACAATACCATCACGAATAGAACTAACATGAATTTTATTTACATTACACACATCAACATGATGTGTTGATAGGAGTTTTCCATCGTAGGATATCGATACAATATGTTGACGAGCTGCAGTTGGTATAAATGATATTTCATAATTATTTTTATCATTTGATATCGGCGTCATTGTATGTGACACAACTCGATTCGATTGCGATTCAGTGACAAGTATGGAAACAAGATCGGAGTCAGCACCATCGACTAATTTCATAAGAGACATGTAGTTGTTGTAGATTAAAATAGTTGATTTAACTTACTAGTGAAAGTAACTGGTCGGTCAATAACACCTGAAGGAATCGATGAAACATGAACTTGCTCACAATCGTTCCGTACTGGTATGACCAGTGTTCGAACTAAATAGACAAAGCACGTGTAGATTGAATTAGAGATAGGCGGGAGCATTGCAAATCTCTTTCGTAGTATTCGTTGTCTTCTTTTTTTTTTATAGTTCTCTGGCACTAATCGTTCATAACAATTAGTTCCTAAAATCTACTTACAATTATTTTCTCCGTTAAATGATATCTGTACAATGCATTCATCTTCAGTTTCTGGCGTAAACGAAATTTGATAAATATACGTAGAAATTTGTGTTAGCTCATGTGATAGTTTGTCTCCGTTCTGCTTTATTTTAACAGATAAAACGCCATGACCAGCGTCCGCCGTATGAACTAAAGTAAGAAAAAAAGTACAAGATTTTCGCAAATCAGAAAATAGAAAAATCTACGTGTAAATTTATACGGTTGACGAGCAATTGCCAATGGTAAATCGCTGACGCGTATTTTACTTGGATCATAAACTTGACAGATAAATTTCGTCATAATGAATTTTTTATCTTCATCGTTATAAAATCTTATCTCATGATCGCCGATCTCGTTTGGTATAAAATCAATCGCAAACGAATTCATGGAGATTTTTTCAAGTTTTCCTTTTATATCATTGCCGGCTGAATTTTTTATATCGAAATAAATATTTGAATTAAAATTTGATTTTGGTTTAATTGAAAATGATGTTCGTTTATGAATGGGAGCATATTCATAATTTTCAAATATAAATTCACTTGAAATTACATTACATAGATAAGGAGATCCTATGTAATAAAAACAAAATTAATAAAAACTTTTTACACTGTCAAATGTCGATCAATTTTATGGCTTATTCTCGATGAGAATACTACTGGCTTAAGATAGTGAAGAAAATTTTCTTTATTTTTACCATGAATATCAGTTCCATTAAATTTAATTTGAACTTGATGTATACATGGTTGATCGGGAATAAATTTAATCCGAAAACGAGCAGTGCCTTCATTTTGTACATAATTCGGAATGTTTTTTCCATTTCTCGATATAGCTATTTCAAGACTCCCAGCACCAGAATCCGTTGCATCGACTAAAATAAATATGTTAAGCAGAGAAAAAAGAAATGAATCGAAAAATTCTATTTACTAATAAAAGAAGTTGATGAACCGGCAATAGCAGATGATGGAAAATGAAGAATTTTAATTTGATTTGCATCAAACGATCGAACTAAGAACGGACTACTATCGATTTGAATATTATCATAAAAGATTTCAATATAAAATTCGCCTAAAAAAATAAATAAATGTATTTGAAAACGTAAGATTCTCGTTCTTCAACTAACCAACACGATCAGTTGTATACGTAACTTCATATCGATTTAGATCAATTTTTGTTATAAGACATGAAATTAGACGATCATCGGATCCTGCAAAATTTTTGACATCTTTCAGATCGTAACAAAAAATATCATTTACTCCACCTTTAATCAAGCATTTCAATTGCCCAGTACTATCATTAGGCGTGTGGACAGTAAATGACGTTGGAATATTAATTGGAACTGCACCGAGACCCTTGCCAATTGCAATAACACGCTGTGTTTCCATCACATTTACTGCCAGTGGACTTCCTAAATTAACGATGAATCATATTTCTATTGCATAAAATAATTATTTTCAATTTTTTTTCCTTCGATAAATGATCAAAGATGCAAATCTAAACTTCTCGTACAAATTAAAAATAAAATTGCTTCGCTCAACTACTACTCATTCGATCATTTTTCCTCGCCTAGTAAAGTTGATGCGCTTCAGAGAACTTCAAATATGTTCACTTTCGAAATTTCTTCTTATTTCATCGTTTTGCCTCGCTCATTCATATATATATATATATTAGTATGCGTCTATGCAGCAAAGTTAATAACTGTGCATATGTTAGCAACTGACACAGTAATCTCATACAGTTAATTATAGATTTTTTTCAAAAGTCATTGACTATATGGTCATAGGTTATAGAACAAGATTTATGCATACTATTAATCAGGAAGAAAAAAGAGCCTTGACAAACTTCATACAATCGATCATCTTTCATAGATTTATCTACCTGGCACATGTTCATGATTGAATAGAATGTTACAATAATGTGTGACGGCTTTTTGTGGAGTAAATTGAATTTCGAGACGGCCATTGCCAATAGGATTAATTTCATTAGGTATATTACGACCAGAATGATTGACACTAATTGCAAGATCACCTTCGCCAGCTTTAGATGCATCAACTATTGTAAATAAAAGCAAAAAAATAATTCTATATAATCAATTTAACCTTAATGTGACTCACTGATAAATCTTGTGGGTATTCGAATCATACTATCCCGAAGGGGTGGTTTAATAATTACTTTTTTCGGATCATAACATTTCATAGTTAATGGACTTCCTGGAAGTGAAAAACCGAATAACGTCAAATGAATCCTATAAATTCCTATTTCCATTGGTGTCCAATCTACTCGAAGTCCATCGGAAGTGAGGAGTGTTGATGGATTTAATTTATCATTACTCGGCGTAAATATAGTCACATGTAAATCCGATAAATCACTATAGGTGATATCAATTGTAAACCAAGTCTCAAGACCTAGTAAGACTGGACGAAGACTAGGACCACGAAATTTTACGTTATCAGATGTAATTATTGAACATTGTTTTGGAAATCCTACAATAATTATTTATTATCAATTAAAGAACTTCTTTCTCTCTCTCTCTCTCTCTCGATTTACCCACTACTTGATGTCCATTAAATGTAATCGAAATACTATGAGGTTCGTTTAATTTGGGAATAAATGTAAAATGAAATTTTGACTTTCCTAATGGTTTTACGTGATTTTTAACTTGACCATTATTAATAGCAACTTCAATTTCGCCTTTTCCAGCTTTTGATACATCGATAGTGAAGTCGACTGGTTGATCAATAATTAAAAATTTTGGAATATCTGAGATAATCAAACGATTTGTATCGTAAGTTTGTAGTAAACATGGTGAACCATACGTCTCCATTCTATGACTCGATCGAACATTCACAGGTTACAAATCTGATGGTGCAAAAAAGAAAAGATATAAATATCGATAGGTGAAAGTCAGACTGATATTTTGCTTTCACGGTCTTTTTATCTGATATGTAGCACGTACATGAAGGTGTGTTTATATGCATATCAAACGATGATTGAAAAGAGAGATGTCTCATTATGGTATATTGAAGATGAGCGCATATGAAGATACGCGTGTACGTCCTTGATCTTATATACTAGTAGTATAGCGTAATATAGTGAATAGCATGCTACATCAATCACTAAACGTAAAAAAATTAATTTGGTTTTTTTCTCTTAGGGTTTAGTTTGAATAAAGTGAACCTTGTGAAACTTCATACGTTAATTATATTCAACACAATTAAAAACTTCAACAATGATTTGTTATGATCACATTTTTTTTCACCAATGTGCACATTCACTGCGTCATTCGATTTCATTAAGAATTGACTCAACATAAAAATTGTTCTCATTTAGTAAATGCGATGAATTTCTAGAGCAAAAAAAAATCATCAGATAGTGATGTATGATTGATGTCAAAACAACATCTTGATAAGTTTACACAAAAAAAAACCGCCTATATATCTGGTATAACTAATCCGTGAAATCGAATGATGCGTTACATGCGCTGTAATTAAGATTTTTGTATAGCAACTTCTAGTCCATATATATATTTATTGATAGAGAAATTTTCATGTAGTCTATAATTACTGTTGCAATGGCCAATAGCGTGTATATGACATACATGTATGCAAATCTACGAATGATTTGTTTGTTGAAACGTATAATTTTTTCAACAAAAATAAAACTACGCATTTTCCTGCTTGAATTTTTTTGAAAAAACTTCATTATAGTTGAGACCGTGTCGAGATGAAGATTATGGGTACTTGTTTGTTGATATAGTATCTAAGCTAAAACTTTAATCATTTTCCTCATAAAATTAACTGCTAATCCCTATTCTATCTTAAAAAATAAATGTGGAAAATTCGGATTTCATCCGAGAGTTATGTGTACTGCAAAAAGTTTATGGAGCATATGAATCATTATGGAATGTCTGAACACCAAAATTATCATGAGAAACTAGGCAATTTGGTTTCAGGATGCAGTTTTTGTGCATTTTGAGACGTTTTTCAGACGATGTTTCGTTAGAAAGCTACGATTTAGTTCAAAACTAATATCAGATTCGGAATCAGCGTTAAAAACTGAGTCGATTTATATATGTTGTGAATAATTCTGAGAAAAATTTGTTTTTTGAAAAAAAAACCCTGTACCCCTCCCTCCTCAGGGATGGTCTGGTCAAAAATGACAATTTTTTCGATAACTCAACGATTTCATGAGGGATCCTTCTCATCTTCGAACTCGACCGAGATATTCATGAGATTGAACTGTATGGAAAATTTCATCACGATCTGACTCTCCTTTCAAAAGTTATCGTGCCTACGGACGGACGGACGCACACACTGACCGATTCAAGAGTGTACTCACTTTTTGAGTACTCAAAAAGAATGAATAAAACTTAGCAATTAAATCTCATGGGATTCATGTATTGTCCTGATTCTCATCAATTAAGAAAAGATAGAAATCTTTAGTATTTGCTTTTACATTGCTCTTGATTTGTATAATTATCTTTCTATGCTGTTCCAAAATACAACATAATCGCAATCGAATTCAAACTATTGATGTTCGCTTAACTACAACGAAATTAGAGCCAAGAACTACTAAATCATGTTCAATTATAATCGGACACATTTCATATGTCAAATTATTTTATGTAAAAACCAGCCGCGCTAGATCTTTTTTTGACACGCTTATTAAAATATGCGTAAAACTTCTATTTATGGGAAAAAAATCTTTTGAAAAACTGTGTCTCAATTATCAACGATATTCAGATACATGTATCAAATGCAACATGTGGGCAGTATGCGTATGAGGTCAGACGATAACATCTGTAATATAATATATTCATCGTCAAGCGATTCTTAATTAGAATGTCAGAAGAAGTTTCTTTCCTTTCATGTACCGGCAAAATCGAATTGAGTTTATTAAAAAAATTTCGATAATATCAGGAATGAACATGCTATCAAAACTACTCCGGAAGTATGTTTTGTTTTGTTTATATTTCATGTCGAGATATTCCGTTAGACAATCCGCATGTATACTTTGAATACACATAGAACTCGTCAATTTACGTATTGACTTTTTTTTGGCACTAATACTGTGAATAGACAATCTGGTTTTTTTTTGTGATAATTAAAATATATTTCATTTTTTCAAGTCACACACCTATGTAACATCTTAAAATATGAATAAAAACCTATTTGTACAGGCAAAATAGTCTGCGTTCAAATATAAAACGTGCTAGATGATAAGTGCATCATGGATATAATGAAAGCACCTATTTCAAACGTCGATGATTTTTCTTTCGACAAATTGAAGATCTTCTAATAAGAGTGATGACATAATCTCATTGCACAGTGTGGCAAGTTTTTCTTCGTCCAAACCTACCACGTATTTCTCGGAGCTTACTCGACGTCTGTCACTCTAGGCAATAAGAATGCAATCAAGAAAACCAATATGATGCCAGTGAGGGAATATTCTTATAGGTTATATTTCACAAATAATACTGCAATGAGGAGAGAAATTCGTTCTTTTCATCAATGCTAGGATATTTTATGTTGTGGTATTTTGATTTCGATATCATAGCTTATAGTTTGTGGGCCTTGTTTTGGTACAAGCTGCACGACACTTTCATTCTTTCTATTTGCTATTTTATATCTCAACACCTGCGCAGACATTACACAAACACGATAGTAGCATGCCATGAAGTTCTCATATTTGTATAGAGCAGAAAAAAACAAATGTTTTTATCACATTATCAAATAGTGCACTGATACTACATAAGACTTCTCGGTGTCTATTTATTATTTAAGTCTAGAGTAAGTTCACAGCGTCTAGTATTTTTTTTATATTGGAAGTTATTGATTTAATCTTTCTTCGAAGTCCTATGAGAACACAACTTGTTTACAGAAAGATTCTCTAAGAAAAAATTAATCAAAACGACGAAACGGCCTTTGTGTCCTGCTCATCCTACTCCTGCGTTTGATTGTGTATAAATTAAAAACGTTGTTAGCACAATCACAGAGGTGTTTAAAATGTGAAGTAGGACACAGCTAGTTGTCGAGTACCTTCTCAAATACTGAACTTGACGATTAGCCAGACAGAAGGATAAAAAGAATTTTTTTATTGGTAGCTCTCTAAAACAAATCACCATATTTTCACTATTAAGAAGGTGCTTGAAAGAAAATAATCATATCTAAAATCACGGGCTTTTATATTTTCGTGCATCATATTTCGACTTGGAATCGTTAACAAAATCCAAACAGTTTAGTTGTCGTACATATCTCATTGATTGAGAGTCTTCTAGCCCGAAATCAGTCCCCATGCTGTACTTGAAGAGCACAAGTCTAAATCACACGTTGTTTTTGTAATAGAGCCTTTCGTACGTTTCTTTTTTGCTGTTCATACCCATGAAACAAAATAAATGCCTTACTAACGTCAAGAGCAAGCAACTACAAACAAATGTCTGCAAGAAGTTGACGAGCCTGCGAAAAAAATACGTTTCAATGCAAAAACAAGACAAAAACATTCTTTAGAAATACGAAGAGAATTGAATTCATCATGCAGCAGCATATTTTGTAAACAGTGTAAAATAATAAAGCTTGCTGTTGAGTGAAAAATAGCTAGAGCTCAATCTACATTGACTTTATCGTTCTAGAAGTGAACAAAATGACTTTAAAACGAACAGTACAACAATTATTTGAAACAAACAGCAACTACTTAGATGCCCAGCAAGCACTAAATCAAGCTTATTCGCTTAAAGCTCTATCAGATGATTTATATACTGATCCTTTACGATTCGTTTACGAGCTCATTCAAAATAGTGATGATGCATATGATGGCTATAAAACCAAGGCACCTATCGTACATATCGCAATCGTCGATAAAAATTATTTGATTGTTGCCAACTATGGAAAACCATTTTCTGAACGGGATGTACGAGGAATCTGTTGTGTAGGATGTGGAACCAAGAAGCTTGATCACGAGAAAACTGGCTATAAGGGGCTAGGTTTTAAAGCTGTATTTGGTAAATCTGATTATGTATTAATTGCATCGAAAGGAAATTTTTTTCGATTTGAAACAAACTCAAAAGCATTTAAATGGAACGAAAAATGGGGAAAAGATCAAACTAGTTGGGAAACGTTAAACCAGCAAAATTTTGTATATCCATGGCAGATTTGTCCTCTATGGACAGAAACTGCTCAAATTCCTGAACCTATTCGAGAATGGCTGTTTGCTCAACCAGAAGTAGTAGCGACTATAATTCGACTAAAAAACATTTCTGAAACACAAGAAGCTATAGAAATGTTAACAAAACAACCTTACTTATTCATGTTTTTAAGACACATAAAAGATGTTCGATTTTCTATCAGTACTCTAGTAGAAACTTCATTAAATATATCGGTGCTTAAAGATGGTTCGATCAAGATTTCTTATGATAATAATAAAGCAACATCTCATTGGCTATTGTATTCATGTAGATTAAATGTTCCAGAGACAGTGCTTGGAGATATTCGATTACCAGAGAAACTAAATCAAGACAAAGTTGTTGAAATGACTCTTGCAGCCAAAATCGATGCAAATGATAAAATTGAGCCTGTCCGTGGAAGTGATAGCGTGCTGTTTGCTTATCTTCCAACAAAAATATCAACTTATAATCTACCTATTCTTGTTAATTCGAATTTTTTAGTTAATGCTAGTAGAGAACACATCCATGTAGATTCATTATGGAATCAATGGCTTTTCTCCTGTATTCCTAACGAAACCTTCAAATGGATTCAAGAATTAACAAAAAATGCCAAATGGAGCGAAAAAGCATACGATCTATTACCAAATATAATACCTGCCAAGGATAAGTTGGCCGACAGATACAATCAAAGTTGTAATGATAGTGTTAAAAGAATTCCGTTCTTGCTCAGTATTGACAAGAATTCTCTGTCGATTAACGAAGCCGTAGTTGACCTTACGATGTTCTCCAGTGAGAACTGCATTGGGCATGAGTTAATTCGAGATTTCATATTGCATAGGTCTTCGCCAAAATTAAGGCTCGCGCGAAATCCGTTCGTTACAAATAATCATCGTCTTCGAAATCTTGGAATTACACAATTTACCTGGGACAGATGCATGGAAATGTTACAGCCACGTTATTTTTCGTCAAAATTTACTTGCGAATCCGACATCAAATTTATTCAATACTTGTATATTCAACGGAATTCAACACAAATTCAAAAGCGACTGTATGAGATACCATTTATGATGGACCAATCAGGATGTCTTCGGAGAGTGCAGGAGATTTATTTTCCTTCACGATTTAGCAGTGCTGATTGGCTTATGTTGGATAGTACGGACGCTTATGTTCATCAAGAAGTGATGATATGGTTAGAAACTCAACTTCCTATTAAACAATGGCTTCGAAAACTTGGTATTATTGAGAAAACCGACATGACATTTGTCGAGCAGTATCTGATTCCAAATGTTCGTACCTACATTAATCAAGCAAATGCTATAATTACAATAAAAAGATTGTTTGTTCTGTTCCAAAATGGATCACTTACCACACAACATTTTCATGAACTGAGAAAATTGAAATTATTATCTGCAAACGGAGCTCTAGTACCGGCTTACCACTTATATTTTTCTGCGGACTATTCCCCTCATCTTTCACTCGATTTTCTTGATCTTGATGCTGCATTATTTTTATCTCCATCATATTTGGAAATAATAGAAAAAATACCAGCGCACCAATGGAAATACTTCTTTCAATCTCTTGGAGTTCATGAAAATATATGTTTGATGCCTATAGATGATGATTGGTACAGTGAACTTGTTCAAGCATATATATGCGCACATACAATGAATCTTCCATCTTACATGGCTTTTGCATTTAAGAATCGTATGACTATTCTGCATATTGAACTCACACAAATAAATTATCAGTTTTCCGTCTACTTTTGGGAGCATGTTATTCGCTCAATTAATATTAATCAATTGAATGAATTTGAAATGCTTCTTGGTCAACGTCGAATTCCAATAAGTAACTTACCTCAGTGGTGTGTTCGCACACGTTTATGTATTCCGACAACAACAGGCGTATTACTACCTAGTACTGAAGTATTTTCTAATAGCTTACTGACGATTGCTGGTAGGTATTTGCCCGTTTTTGTTTGCCACTTGCGTAATCCTCATTCTGATGCATGGCTAAAGTTTTTTGGCTTTAAAACAGAACTTTCTATTGACAATTGTTTGACATTGTTGGCTCTTGTCTACCTTCATTCACAGAATACAGGGCTAGACGATGACGATGAAAGACGTATTCAACTTATATATACAAGATTGATTGACGATTTATCAAGAATGGATCAAACGCGCCGAAACCAATGTAGAATAAAGCAACCTATTTATCTACTCAGCACAAACGAAACTCAATTCATGGCCACGATAGAATTGGTCTATTCAAACGATAACAATTTTGTTTTACCAAATCGAGTCGCTCAATTAAGATTGAGCCGGGAAAATGCTTCCAACGTTCATATCGATTTATTATTGGAAATGTTTAATGTGCGACAAGTGAGATTGAAACACTTATCACTCTCGGACGATACAAACGCCCAACTTTCACGTTCATTACATAGCAAATTAAGAAATATTCAGCCTTACTTGTTTGCGCTGGCTGAATTTCGAAAAATTAAAGATCATTGCATTGATTACGACTTTGAGATATTTGAAGCCGATCGGCTTGAATTATGCTATGAAAAGAATATTCCTATCTGTCAGCGATCTGTTTACTTAGATAATAACCAATTGTTCATAAAACGACCTTGGAATTCTAATGAAACGATGCAAACATTATCTGAAATATTATGCAAACAGTTCAAACTTTCGCCCGATTTCGAACCGGATTTGCATCTAATGTTGATGGCTGAGTCTTCAGCAGTTATTGATAAGCACCTCTCTCAATGGGATATAGCAGTGCAGACTAGTCTATTCGAAGATTTACTCAGTACAACTGGAACGCGAGAAAAATTCGCAACAATGATTGATCGTGATAATACTAAATTATTTTCTAATCTAAAAATCACTGATAATAACAGTTCTGCTGATGTGCTACTTGCTGGACTTGAAGCACAAGAATCTGAATGGTCTGGTTGTGTATATCATTTTTCACATTTAGAAAATACGGCAAATATACTTCTTGATCGTAAGTTAAAAGCACGCGGTCAACTTCCGTTCAACGATTTCAAGGATTCGGCCGCTGAAAATGTTATCAAATCGACTCGTACCAATGCAAAAAACTATGTTCGATTTTATTTTCGTCCTCTAACACCTACCCAACGTTGTAATGAAAATCTCGGCTCGGCTGATTTGATCGAACAGTATGGAAATAAACCCATGTGTCCAGTACCAATCTTTTTTTGCTTCAATTTGAAAGCGCTTTTAAGTATTAAAGGCCTTCAGTGGAAAGTCAGCTTAGGTAATATGGCAAGTTATCATACACAATTTGATTGTACACGAGAAATTATAGATAAATTTGATTATCAATATGTCTATGCTGATACACGTACTGAGCGAGGCAAGTACAGTTCGCAACAAGAGTTTCTCATAGAATCAGAGTTAGATTTCAATCATCTAGCTAAAAACGATATAACACTAGTTTTCCAAGATGAAAATGCTTTCAACAGCTTGAAGCTAATGGTACCCACTCTAGAGTATCCAACAAGAATGGATTCACAATTTTTTTTTGGATATAATCCACGCGTTGTGATTGAACATTGCAATTTAAATTCACGAAAAATCGTTATATACATCAATAAAGGACTAGGATCTAGTGATGATGGTAAAATACTTGTTCAGATGGCTTCAAATAATAATACTAAAACTATAACGGGAAAGTTAATTGGTGTTTTTATAAGGGATGATACATTTACAATATTAGGAAGAGAACGCATTTCATTTGTACCAGAAATTGATGATTTAAAATATGCTGTCTATTATAAATACGCAAAGCAAATATGGCTCGTTTATACTAATCACACCAGTCCGAAATATTGCAGTCCGGAAATAGACCATGATGATGTTTGAAAATATTTTCATGGTAATAATTCATCGACTAAATCTTTTTTTCCTATAAATATTCTAATTATCAGAACTATCAAATACGGTATCGGTTTACATAAATGGAAGACCCACACCCTAGTTTGGAGAAAAATTATATAATTAAGAGGCAATTATTATTATCTATAGATATTTTTCATTTTGACCTTCAATCATTTATTCTTCCCATTGCAGTAATATCAATCTTGACACTAATTCTTTACTCATTATATCTTGATTTCTAAATTCATTATGAAATAAAGCACTTAAATATTGCCAAATAGATTTAAATAAGTTATGTGAAATTAAGTTCTCATCTTTGATACTTTCAAATATTTTATCTTCTTACATACGTATATAGTCTGTGTAAGGATATTACTATTCAATTTATAAACAAGAACTAATTAGATTCTATTATCGTGATTGTCATCTTTAGTACCTGTAAAATCAATCAATGCTATGCACTAATGGACTAATCAGCACGATACCTACGAAATTTTGCGTTGCAAAAGAATTTCTCAACGCAATGAATTTCGGTTAGTACTTAGAATCTAAAAGAATTTCTAGTCCTTCGTAAATATTTTTCATTCGCACATATTTTTTCTTAGTGCTGAAAACTATTATTTGATGTTTTGATAAATGTTAATAGATAGTAACACAACATAATTTAGTAACATTTCTTGAGTTATTTTAGGTCGACATTTTAGAGTTAGTCCATTGCTGAAAGTATCAGAACTGTAGTCACTAGATTGAATCTGTTCTTTTTATTCAGAGATCGATGGTTTTGACTTCTGATAGATTCAAATTGACGCGAACTATCATTTTCAATCTTACTCAGTCAATAGCTTCATTCTTCGGTTGATACATCCATCTGTAGGCGCAGTTCATTTGAATATTCAAATCAAGATATAAATGGAAAAGAGATTACAATACATAATAATAGCGCTATCTACAAGTTAGAATAATAATTAATGCGATAAGAAGCACAGCATTTCTGTAGTTCGTCCCGTACGCATCCAAATTAAAGTATTCTTGTGACGCGATGATCTCAAGAACGGAATTTCGTCTGATGTTCGTTGAAACGGTGTTAGTAACATTAAAATCTCTATACCATACAAATTTTGCCCGATTTCTCCTGTCGAATTCCGTTTGGGCAAAGTAAAATATGGATCTCATATTTCAGTTAGTCGATGCGATGTAGTGAGACTTGGCCTTAGCGGCGGCGCCAGGAATTTCGAACTGAGGGGGCTCAGCCCCAACCTATGAAAGTTTCATATAATACAGTGCAAGTCTTTCGAATCTATTATACTATCTAAGAGTGCTTTTTAATCT